TTTTGGTCATTCTGGTACCTCCCTAGCTCAGTGTTGGTGTTCACAAATTGTTTTTCCTGTGCACATTCACTTTCCCTGGTTCTTTGTGTGCTGAATAATTTGGGTATATGGAATATGACATTAAGAGACGTCGTGTTTTTTAATGCTATGGCAGTTATTGCTATTTCAGTTTTAGCAACCTCTCCATCCTGCTGGATTCAGGCTGAGTTCTTTTTCCAGTAGAAAAATTATTTTTTTATTGACAAGTAAATATTGTATATCTTTCTGCTACCTATGAGGCTGCTTTGATGCAGGTATGCGCCGGGGGATCCTGAGTGATCTCAGTGATGGGTGAAGAACCTCACATTCCTCTCGCTCAGTCGGTCGTGCTGAGCACACCTCAAATCCACTCACCTGCAAATGTCACGTACGAAAAACTCGTTATTAGCTATAGTCGCCACGAGGGACCACAGACTTCTTGAAAGCCTTTCTCTGACCTGACCACAGCTGTGTGTCCTCTGACCAACCCCTCAGGCCTCACTTCCTCCCACGGCCTTCCTTGCACTATGACGTCCCTGTCAAGTCGGGCAGTACTAGTTGGACGTGTCCCTTGTGTGTCTAGGCTGGGACCTGGGCAGTGGCCTGTTACTATTTTTTAAATTGGCCCATAGTAATCTTATACACTTGTGGGGGGTGGGGGGATTTTTTCAGTACATGAATACAATGTGTAAAATCAGGGTAACTGGCATGTTCTTCATCTCAGACATCTGTTATAACTTTGCATTGGCAACATTCAAAATCCTCTCTTTGGGCTGATCTTTAGATATACAGTAAGTTATTGTTAACAATAGCTACTACTGTAGTGTTTAACAGGAAAGCTTGTCCCTCTTATCTGTCGTTTTGCATCCATTAACCAATATATATCTACCCCATTCTCCCTCTCCTTGGCGGTTCCTAGTAAACTCCCACCATTTTACTCGCCATCAAAATAACTTTAGTTTCTTTCTTTCAAAAAAGAAAAAAAAAAATTAAGGTTTTGCCAGAGGGTACATGTGTTTGCTGGAGAGAGACAGTGAGAAGGAAAGCGGGAAATCACCCCCCAGGGCAGATGGCCATGTTGTAATCCGTTCTCCTCCATTCTCCTCCTGGGATTTTGGGCACACATGTGGATGTACCTGGCATGACTTTCAAGCCACCAGGTCCAGGACTTGAACCATGGTCAGCCATGTGGAAATCCAGCATTTTAACCACTATGCCACCTGCTGGCCCAGTAACCTTTGTTTCTTAAGGCTTCCCTTTTTTTCAGCCAGAAATTGGGTGCTTTATTATTATCATTATTACTTTCTCTCTCCTCTGCTCGTGTGCTTCTGCTACGGAGCTTGCATTTGGAGACAAGTGGCAAGAGGACAGAGAGCGCAATTGTGGAGCAGTGCCCGCCTCTGGGACCGCAGCTTCTCAAGCATAGAGCGAGGTTTCTCTACTCAAGAGGCTGGGGGTCTGCAGCCCCTGCCGTTGCCACTCGCTGATGCCAAAACACTATCCTGAGCTTACCCAGGGCTGCAGCCCTAGAGAACAGAGAGAAAGAAAGCAGGGGATGGACAGAGAGGAAGGGCAGAAGGAAGGACAGGAGGGGCAAGGAGATTTCCTCCATCCTCGGGCTTTTGGACTCCTCTTCCCTGCTTCTGAAGGCAAAACCAGATGGCGACTCTCTGCCTGCATGTGGGTGCCCAGTTCTCGGCTCTGGGCTGCCTTGAATCTGCGCCAGGGGACACTGGTGGGGGTGGAGGGTAGCACGTTGCCTGGTGGCATTTCCGATGTGGCCTTCTTTCCTGTCCCACCCGCTACTGTTTACTTCTCAGAGGTCTCAGACAGGTGCTCTAGGCATGCTCGCCGACTCCGCAGCTGGATTCGGCTGGGGAGGCAGGGCGAGGCGTGGTCGCTCCATCTTATCAGTCACCAGGAGCTCACCACCCACTGCGTTCATTTCATTGTGGAAAACTGCACGCCAAGGGGAAGTTACCATTTTACATGTATGACTTAGTGGCATTAAGTACTTCCACAATGGCGTACCATAATTATTAGCATGTTTGAGAATGTCGTAAAAATTAACTCATACTTTAGTTCCAATTTTCCAGTGATTCGTTTTTTGAAGTTTACTTCTTCCATGAGTAAGAGAGACAGAGAGACAGACAGAGACAGCATCTCCTGGACACTGCGCTTCACTGCCAGCTTTGGCCCACTCCAAAGCACGGGCACGTGCATGGCCAGCCTTGCTGAGTACTGTGTTTGCCGCTGTGCCTCGGTCTGGCCCCGAACAGTGGTATCTTCTCGTCACCCAATGGAAACATCCTACCTGTTAGCAGCCACTCTTCTCCTTCCCATCCCCCATCTCGGACCACTTTCTACCTTTTCTTTAATGACATATTTTACTGTATTTTTTTTTTTTTTTGAGAGATTTTTGCTATAGGACATGTGCGCTCGCTGGAAAGAGAGAGAGGGAGACAGAGAGACAGAAAGTGAGAAATCACCCCCCAGGGGATGGCCATGCCACAATCCCTTCTCCTCCAGTCTGCCCTTGGAATCTTGGGCATGGACACACACATGCCTGGCATGGGTTTTAAGGTACCGAGTCTGGGACGTGAACTGTGGTCAACTACATAGGAGTCCAGTGACATAACCATTATATCATATGCTGGTCCCTACTATATATTTTTAGAAACTAGGAAGTATAACATTTGTGTACTTTTGTTGCTTCTATATTTTTAAAAACTAGAAAGTATAACATTTGTGTACTTTTGTTGCTTCTTTTCTTAAAAGCTAGGCCCTTGGAGCATTTTTCGTGTCTTTATTTTTAAAAACCATGGTTCCAAATATTCACGTTAGGATTATCTGTATAATACAGCCTGTCTTCAATTGTCCCCATATTACACATTCTGATGGCTACAATTTTCCTTCATAAGTAATGCTGTGTTAATTGACAAACATTGGTGTGTATCTCTGCTTATTTTTTAAGGTGATATTTCTAGGTTAAAGGGCACAGAAAAATACTGAGTGTAGACTCAGGGCTCTGCTATATCCTAACTGAAACTTCATGTTTTTGTTTTAGAGAGAGTCAAAAAGAAACTTTCTATATAAAATGCATAAAATATACATCAAAAGTTGATTCGTAAACCTTCTTATCCTTTAGTAAAAATTTCAAAAACTCGCAATATAATGTGAGGTGCTGAGAGTCTGGATTGTTTAACTGGCTAAAAAATAAACACTAGAATAATACAGAATAAATTGTGAAGTCGACCTAAATTTTATTTCAGCCTAGCCATTTGAGTTGGGGGTCCACTAGTTCCCATATAGATAGAGTGACCATACAAGGGGACTTCAAAAATGTTTATGGTTAAATGTAATTAAAGTATAAGTTTGTTCTTGTTCCCAAAAACAAACAAAGAAAAAACTTACTTAGAAATTTATCCACCAATTTTGACAATATGCATTTTCCACGAACTTTTTGAGGACCCTCTGTCTATTCCGGTTTCCTTCGCATACCTCACTTTACAACTGTGAACTGGGCATAGTCATTTCACACCACCCTACCCCTCCCCTTTCACTCACATATTCCCTTCTGTTTGGATAATGAATTATATGGTCATAGGACCAGCAGTTGGTGTAATGGCTATGTTGCTGGACTCCCATGTAGTTGACGGTGGTTCGAGTCCCGGACCTAGTGGCTTAAACTCACGCTGGGTGCATGTGTGTGCCCAAGATCCCGAGAGAAGAATGGAAGAGAAGGAATTTTGGCGTGGTTGTCTCCCGGGGGGTGATTTCTCACTTTCTGTCTCTCTGTCTGTCTCTGTTTTCCTGGCAAGTGCACGAACCCTATAGCAAAAACCTCTAAAAAAAAAATTACTTGGTGATACCAGCAGTTAGCGTAATGGCTATGTCGCTATACTCCCATGTAGTCGACTGTGGTTCATGTCCCGGACCTGGTGGCTTAAAACTCATGCCAGGCACGTGTGCATGCGTGCCTAAGATCCTGAGAGGAGAATGGAAGAAAAGGGATTGTGGCATGGCCATCCCTCCTGGGGGGTGATTTCTCACTTTCTGTCTCTCCGTCTCTCTCTCTCTCTCTGGAGAGTGCACGTGCCCTATAGCAAAATCCTCTCAAAAAAATTGTATGGTCACTTAAAAGAAGCATCCTTTGATGTTAAGGAACACAGAGGCAGGTATGAGCAATGCATGATGTTAGGATAGCTCATTTCTCCTTTTGGAGTTATGACAGATATCATAAATTGGTCAGTGTCTTGCTCTGATAGAAACATTGACCTCAGAATCCTCCACAGCACAGTCCTCTGGGGATGTTGTACATCTGTACATCTGATTAGAACTGAACCATTAAAAAAAAAATGGGGCCAGCAGGTGGTGTGGTGGATAAGGCGCTGGAAACTCCCACATGGTCGACCGTGGTTCGAGTCCTGGACTTGGTGGCTTGCTTTCTCACTTTCCCTCTCTCTTTCTCTCTCTGTGGCACTCTCTGAAAAAATTAAAATGAACGAATGAATAAATAAATAAAATGAAATAATTATTAAAAAAAAATAACTGAACCATAACATGTAACCCATTTGCCAAGGTGTGTGGGTGACACTCTGGCCCTTTGCATTGGAAAAGACCCTATGCATTGTCCAATTCTAAATCACAACCATGTCAAGGGGGTTGGGGGAGTATCTGAAGAGGGGACTTTCCCAACAAAAGGAGCCACACCTGGGACAGGTTTGTGCCATCCACTCCTCCCCTCCCCTTCCCTCCTCACCCTCCTTCAAGTCCCTGACTCATCCCTGCTGTGTTTCTGGATCACACAATTGAAACTCCAAGTGAAGCTTAGGCGAGATAGACCCCAAGAAAAATTAAACACATAATTAATTCTGGGTCTTCTTTGAGCTGAGTGATTAGAAGTTACTTTCTGTTTTCTTTCATGTGGCTTCTTACACAGACTCTTCTGACTTTCCTCCTCTTTTTCCATTTCTTTGTAGGTTTCAAGACAACAGATGAATTGTGAACGAGAGCAACTAAGGGTAGGTGCACCTGCTTCAAAAATGTTTCCTTGTTCTCGTTTCTGTGTGATAAGCAAAAATTTCCTTGTCTCTCCCAAGACACGGTTCTAAACAACAGGCTTCATCTTAAGACTGGTAGAGTTGAAAATATTTATCCCAGCTAATTTAGTATTGATTGAGCTGGTAAATACAGTATATCTTCTTTTGAAGTGCCATTATAGTAGATATGGATTTTTTGATTTAGATTCAGCGATAAATACTTCTCCTCTGGAATTTGTTTGACATCATTGTACTCTTTTTATGTACAACACGAGGTCTAAGTGATAACAAAGGTCAAAAAGATGCCTCGCTGCCTTCTTAATGGGAAGCTAGGCAGTTTGCTGAGTAGCTAGACACTCTTGGGCTGGTGATGGGGTGGAGGGGGGGAGCAAATACTATGTCAAGGGCATTTTCTAGGAGAATCTACATCATCCCCAGACCTTTCGGCTTTCGTGGTCTTTGTGTGTATGAGAGAGAGGGAGACGATGTTAAACCTCACATTCCGTTTCCCTCCTTAAAAATGAATCTGTCTTGGTGCTCAGTTGCATGAAATGTGAGGGGTTCCATAGATGAGGAGGTAACGGCTGGTTTCTAAATGGACCTCGGTGGTCTTGTTCTGCTTACCTGGTGCCTGTGGACATCCTTCTTGGCCTGGATACTGCATTTTAAAAAATATCAGGATTCTCTGCCCCACCATACCCCTTTACAGTTTTTTTTTTAATGCACTCGTGTTTTGGATGAATTTTGAGTCATGACTGGGCCATCTTTAATGCCATGGTACACATTTGTGCTTTTGACTGGACACTGTGACTTACAGGCATATTTCCAAATTGTTACTGAAAAGCAGAGGAATCTGCAGTTTTTAAAATCCTAAAAGTGGGACTTGGGGTTGGAGCTTGGGCATTGATCTCCTAATGTATTGACCCAGGGCAATGCCTGACACACTGCCTGGTCACTTCTTAGAGCATTTCTCCACAGCAGTCTCAAGATGGCAATGATTTGTAGAGTTATTCCCATTTTACAATTGCTGTTGGCATGGGTCTGTTAAGTCCTTGAATCCAGTTGCATGAAACAGAGAAAACGCGTTGAGGTTTTGGTTTCCTTTTGTGCATATTTATTCTATGTGCTATCCTAGCATGGCCCTGTCTCTTAACCTCTCATCTCCACCCACTTCCTCCTAAGTACCTGTGCCAGCATTGCTGTGACTCCCTCATGAAGCAGCCTTCAAGATGTTTTAAGCCTCCCTGAGCTCCCTGATTGCCTTTTCCCTGCAGTGTGAATTACGGGTTCATCCTAGTAAATAATGTATGGCAGCCTCCGCTTTCTTTTCCTGTTTGGATGGGGACGATGACCAGAACTAGGTCAGACCTAGATAAAAAGGAATGTGTGCTTTTGTCTTCTGGAGTCCCTGAGAAATGCCTCAGAATTAAGATAACACTGAAATCGCTGTTGCAGATGCCAGCAAGCCTGGCAAATGAGGGAGGCAGGGGTTAATGAAGTGCATTTGCAGTTGGAGGAGTTGATTGCTTCTCATTCTTGGGGATATTGTTGGCAGGGGTGTGGCTCTGCAGCAAGAGGGGAGCCCTGGCCTTTGCTGGATCCCTTCAAGCAGTGGTTTGACAAAGGGGTCGTTTAATTTACTTCCAAGTGCGTCTCCAGCACCCCCTCACAGACCTTCTCTGGCATTACAGACTGTACGGTGTTTATTGTTGCTGTTGCAGTCACTGTTTTTGCATTTTAAGCTAATGTATGTTTCGAATGGATAGATAGCACACTTAAATCACTAGAACATGCATTTATGGCTCAAAATTTAAATGATACCCAAGGAATGCAGCACAGTTTTCTCTTCCCATCTGACTCAGACATCCATTTCCCCCTGGAAGGCCCTCGCTTGGCCATGAGTAACTGGGAGGTGTCTGGTCTTCGCATCCGTGCCTCTCCGTTTTCCTTCTCTGCCTCCCTTTCTCATCTTCCTTTTCTCTCTCCTTCCTTTTCTTTCTCCCATGTGTGTCAGCCCAACTACCCCCCCAAGTGAAAATCTCATTTATTAAGGTAATTTTGGGGTGAGTGCTTTCTTTTTTAGGGTTTCTGAAAGAAATTTGGAACTGACTTGCAAATACTTGCTATCTCGTTAAAATACATTTTGTTACATTTCTTTTTTTCCTGGAGTGGTGGTTGAGGTGTTGAATTCCCACGTAGCTAACCATGGTTTGAGTCCTGGACCCAGCGGCTTGAAAATCATAACAAATAAATAGATAAATAAGTGTTTAAAAAAAGAGAGAGAAAAAGAAAAATAGGTAGCCTTTTTTAGTTACCAACATTATGTAAGGGTGCCTGTCTCTAGTCACATGTTTAGCGTGGTTTGGGCCCCACATAGTGGTACAGGGGTGGAGCACTGCTGCAGGGGACTGGATCCACACTGGAGGTCCGAGTGTGGATCCCAGATTGATCTGAACATGCCCAGGACACTTGCACACCCTGCCTAACTGTCTGGGAGGCTTAGCGAGGATCATGGTGTGTAAGACCCCATCCAGGGTACACAAGGGTGCTCTCTCTTTTTCCTCTCGCTCTAGCTCTCCCTCTCAGTAAATAAAAAATAAAAACGTTCCAAAGCAACAACGTGTTGTAAGTGTGATGCACACAGTGCATTTCCTGATGTGCTGCCCAGGATTTGGGGGTGGCTGTGTCGTCTCCTGCAGAATCCTTCCCATCCATTCTGTTGTGTGGTTGGGACTTGGGTACAGTGGGCCATGGTGACCTCTGCCCTGTTCCTTGGCCCCCCGGGAACAGCTGGCACTGCAGAGGGACAACGCTGCCCTTCCTGCTTTGTGCACATCCACACTGTGAAGGGGCTGGCACATCTGCCACCCGCTCCTTCTCCTCACTTTTGTTTTCCCTCACAGATCCTAAATTACCTTTCCAAAACAGCCCCTCAGATGTCTTGCTCAATGTTATATTAAGACATCTAAAACAAGATTCTTTCATTAATTTAGGGAAATACAAAGTTAAAAGAAAGTCAAACATTTTATTTATTGATTTATTTTTTAAGTTTTTGCTATAGGATGCACATGCTCGACAGAGAGAGAGAACGGGAAGGTGAGAAATAACTCTTTGGGGGAGGGAGGGTGGCCACACCACAGTCCCTTTGGGTTCCCCTCTTAGGATTTCGGGCACATATGTGCATGGGCCAGATGTGTTTTTTTTTTTTTTTTTAAGCCATCAGGTATGGTGCTTGAACTGTGCCGTCTGCTGTGTAGGATTCAGTGCCTTAACCACCACACCACCAGCTGGCCCCGCACTTTTTTATTCTTTAACTGCAGGACTTCTCCGAGCCGTTAAGTACGTGGTAAATACAGAGCGGTAGATATGGTATACAACGTGTGTTTCAACTCACCTGACCAAGGTCTTTTTGGTTGCAGAACGTGCTCTGAGAAACACTCTTGAAAACTTTACCAGCTTGTTAGCTAGGATGCTATTGTCCTCAAGCTACAGAAAAGCTGACCGAGAGTTATTTAAAAGAGGAAAGCATTTAACCTTCAAGCTACAGAAAAGAGAGTTATTTAAAAGAGGAAAGCATTTAACCCTTCCCGATCCCAGGGTGGATCTCGGCCTCAGCGCATTGGTGTGGAATCCCTCTGCTTTCCTTGGCCTTCCTTTCCTTCTTCCAAAGGACGCCTCCCAGTGTTGCTGTCACGTGACAGCGTTCTTGTCAGAAGGGAGGGGGAAAAGGCTTTTTCTCAACTCTCTTACCTTTTATTAGAACAAAGTCAATCCCAGACATTCTCTTAGATCTCACCAGCCAATCTCTGTCAGTCACTGCCTACAGGACCTGAGAGCTCAGTGATTGGCTACAGAGGTCGTCATTTACTCCCTAGGGGCGGGCACAGTGCCACCTAACCGGAAGCAGGACTTCCTTACCCTGGAGGAAGAGAACGGGCCTTGGTGTGGTTACTGGGTGGTCTGCTGCGGAAGGAATCCACATAGGTCCTCTGTATTACTCATGGCTTCCCATGGACTCCTTTCTTTGTTCCTTTCACTGACACTCCTACATGGCTATGGGAGGCATGTGGGTCCTCGGCCTCTCCCTACAGTCCGTGGATCAGGGTGGATGCTTCCTCCCATCTGCAGAGCTTAGGGACCACATCTCCCATCCTGACCTACTTTTCTACCCAGCTCGGCTGACTTCCCCTCTGTTTTGCCTTGCGTTCTCCAATCCGGTTCTGGATGGAGACTTTGCTCATGCCCCCTCTGTGTTAGGTACCAACCGCGGGCCTGGGGACCCAGCTCAGCCCCAGAGCTTCCTGGGCCCTGCCCTCCCCAAGGCAAGGGCATCAGCTGGTTCTAATAGACATGTCACCCTTATGGGGAACACTGCTGGGAGTCCTCATGTTGTCAGCAATGAGCAGCACAGCAGGAAACATCCATCCTGAGTTTTGTCGACCTAGAAGAGGCTGAGCCTGTTTGGAGCTTACGTTCCAAGTTGCTGACTGGTTCTTTGGGGAAGATGGTCTGAAGGGCTCACCATGGGATCTGCATGTTGAATACTACTTATCCCATAAGCTGTGCACACCAGCTCACCCAGGACCCTGCTGATGGATGTCCTGCTAATTGTGCTGCTGTCTTCGCCTGTCAACACCTACCTGTCCAGGACCTGGAACCAAAGATGGGCGAGTAAACAACGAAGAGAAGGAATGTCCTACACTGCCCTCAGCAGTCCAGCAGTAGAATATGGTGGCTGTAGGGCAGGAGGCTCAGGTGCCCACTGGTCCCAGGATTGGGAAACTATTTGTTATAAGGGATTGTCTGCACTTCGAATATCAGGTGCTAGTCTGGGGGGTGATAAACTAATCTGGTCAAAAAAATTCTAAGTAGGCAAAGGCTTGGTTCTCAGTTGGGTCTGAATCTGTCCTTTGGACCCAAATCTTGATCTGCATTTAAATGGATACCTTTAAGAGTCTGCATTGTGCAAAGGGTGCTTAGGG